TAAGAAGGAAAGAAAGAAAAGAAAAAAAAAACAGACTTTTCCTTTTCTGTCACTCCTGGTTTTCCCTTGCGTCTTAGTGGCATTATCGCCTTTCTTGGGGTGAAGGGATTAAAAAAAGATAAGAAATAAGAAGAAAGGTGAAGAGAGAAAAAAGAAGGAAAAAGCGGGAAGAAGAAGAAGAAAAAAAAGGAGAAAAAGTGGAAAGAAGAAAAAAGAAGTAAAGAAAGAAGAGAAAAGAATGAAGAAAAAGAGACGAAGAGAAAGAAGTGAGATTAGAACAAGAGATCTCCAGCAGACGAGAGTTTGAAGGAACGAAGAATGAAGGCAGGAAGATATATGCCAAGGGGGCCGTCAGTGCCAAGATAGCGGCAGAGGTGGCGGCAAAAGCGGCGTCGATGGTGCAGTGCTGTGAGTATCGAGGTTGGTGGGGTGGGGAGATGTCAGGGTTTGGCTGACATGGTGAGAGCAGCAGCGAAGGGGTGGTGTTCAGATGATCTATGTAGATGGTGAATCGAAGAAAATGAAATTTTATCCCGAAGACAATAAGTATTAAGCTCAACCACCATTGACGTAGTCGACAATAAATGGCGTCGCGCCGAATTGAATGATGGGAAATTAGAAATCTCTGAGTTTGGGCTTCCGTCGAACGACGAGGCTAAACTGATTGTGGATAATAAAGCATGTAGATATGGCGAAAGATAAAAAGAGAGAGAAATACAAAGATTAAGATAGACGGATATGAATAATAACATAGAAAATGGTTAAAATAGACAGATTATGAAGACTGTGATAAATTTGAACAGTGATATATATATATATATATATATATATATATATATATATATATATATGAAGAAATATAGTTTTAAGGTGTGCTATATTTATGGGAAAAAGTGCACAGTTTTTTGTTTTTCATTTTTCAATTTGTATTATTTATTCTTTTCGTTTAATTTTTAAATATTAGAAAATGAAAATGAAAAACAAGTAAAATAAATTAACCCAAATAAATAAACAAGCCACTCCTGCAAAAATAACCGCCACAGTAGATTACCCACAATGCACCACTGACCCATATATGTAAATAGCCGAGGAAAAATCCAGCATTCGCGGCCTGACGATTGCGTCCAGCATGAAACAGCCTCTCGCCTCTGAGTGTTGACTTCAATGTTCACTTTTATGTCTAACCTGAAGAGCCAGGCAAAGCTATCTAGGCTTCACCTACGCGGATCGCCAGGGTATTTTACTCGTGCCGCAGTTTTTTTCTTTTTCTTTGGAGTCTGAATTCTGGTCGATTATTTTCTCCAAAATTACATGTTCCTAGTTCTTTCTTTTTTTATTCCTTATTTTTCCTAAGGTATTGGTTTGTTCATTTACAAGCCAATACACCTAAGGTTTTTCGGACGAGTATATTCACTTATATTTATAAGATTATATATATATATATATATATATATATATATATATATATATATATATATATATATATATTTAAAAATATGATTCCATCGCTACATAAGAGTTCTCATGTTTCAAAACAAGAGCCGGAAAAAAGATTTCGCTTGAAGATGGAACAGAGCTTGGTACTTTAATTCAATTTAATTCAAATAATTATATTGAATTTGTAGATCTGATGAATTGGATCGTAATTACGATTCCAATGTAAAAAAAATATAACCATGGAATATTAGTGTTTAAGCCTTTTTATTATATTCATACTCTGTCCTCGACATTGAGTTCTACCTGGATTCTATCCTCTTGGAAATTTACATATATATATATATATATATAATAGATAGATAGATAGATAGATAGAGAAAAATAGTTTTGAATGTCTACTATATTTATGGTTAAAATGTGTGCAAATGTAAAAATAGATACTGAGGTCAATACAAATCGGCGAAATTCTGCTTCATGCGTGAACGCAATCTTTAGGCCATGTTGGATCGGGTTTTCTGTCGACTATTTATATATGCTTGTTAATGGTGCACTATTGGCTGTTTCAAAAATATTCCAAAGGTTATTGAGTGGAAATAATTGTGGATCCGTGTGCGGTGATTTGTTGCTATTTTATGGTATTGTCTTTTTTTACTCATTATTTCTTATTGATTATTATTATTACTGTTACCTTTATCTATGTGTGCATTCGTAGACTGAAAAGTAAAGGGCCGGTGTCACAAAGGGGCTTAACTTCCGTATTCTTTCGGAGGTATTGGTAGAAGGTTTTTTTTACCTATCGGAGTAGATACTGTCGGTTGTAGTATATATTCCTTGTCGATGTCTTCTCTCCTCCCTTGCGTCCCCCCACCATTGCGTAACATCTGTTGGTATGACGGTGATATGACAAGCTATGACCAGCTTAGACCAGCTATGACCAGCTTAGACCAGCGGCTCTACTGGAAACACTCGGGTCCTCAGGTTAAAAACGGACCTTGTGCCACAACCTGACTCAGTTGTGGGGTTAAGGTAAATTTCGGGCTGGTGTCACGAACAATTTATTTCAATCCCAAGCGACAAACTACATGGTTTTCACTTGATGTACTTTTCTATCAGTCTCTGCAAAGCTTCTATGCACTACTGGAAGTATTCTTGTTGCATGACCCTCGGCTCCGTCGGTACAACCATCTTGATGGCCTCCACGCATTCAAAACGGGTCCCCTTGCTGATCGTCTTGAGCATTGCGGAAAGAAAAAACCTCACACGTAGCAAGTTCTGATGAATAGAGAGGGTCTCCAGTACAGCGATCTTCTTCTCGGCTCAGGGCGTTAGAACAGGGTGCATTGTCCTGTTGAATCAGTCACATTTTGTCCTGCCACAGCTCTCGTCTCTTTTGCTGAATCAGCCACATTTTGTCCTGCCACAGCTCTCGTCTCTTTTGTTGAATCAGCCACATTTTGTCCTGCCACAGCTCTCGTCTCTTTTGTTGAATCAGCCACATTTTGTCCTGCCACAGCTCTCGTCTTTTTTGTTGAATCAGCCACATTTTGTCCTGCCACAGCTCTCACATTTTTTGTTGAATCAGCCACATTTTGTCCTGCCACAGCTCGTCTCTTTTGTTGAATCAGCCACATTTTGTCCTGCCACAGCTCTCGTCTCTTTTGTTGAATCAGCCACATTTTGTCCTGCCACAGCTCTCGTCTTTTTGTTGAATCAGCCACATTTTGTCCTGCCACAGCTCTCGTCTCTTTTTGTTGAATCAGCCACATTTTGTCCTGCCACAGCTCTCGTCTCTTTTGTTGAATCAGCCACATTTTGTCCTGCCACAGCTCTCGTCTCTTTTGTTGAATCAGCCACATTTTGTCCTGCCACAGCTCTCGTCTCTTTTGTTGAATCAGCCACATTTTGTCCTGCCACAGCTCTCGTCTCTTTTGTTGAATCAGCCACATTTTGTCTCCACAGCTCTCGTCTCTTTTGTTGAATCAGCCACATTTTGTCCTGCCACAGCTCTCGTCTCTTTTTGTTGAATCAGCCACATTTTGTCCTGCCACAGCTCGTTTTTTGAATCAGCCACATTTTGTCCTGCCACAGCTCTCGTCTTTTTGTTGAATCAGCCACATTTTGTCCTGCCACAGCTTCGTCTTTTTGTTGAATCAGCCACATTTTGTCCTGCCACAGCTCTCGTCTCTTTTTTGAATCAGCCACATTTTGTCCTGCCACAGCTCTCCTCTCTTTTGTTGAATCAGCCACATTTTGTCCTGCCACAGCTCTCGTCTCTTTTGTTGAATCAGCCACATTTTGTCCTGCCACAGCTCTCGTCTCTTTTGTTGAATCAGCCACATTTTGTCCTGCCACAGCTCTCCTCTCTTTTTGTTGAATCAGCCACATTTTGTCCTGCCACAGCTCTCGTCTTTTTGTTGAATCAGCCACATTTTGTCCTGCCACAGCTCTCGTCTCTTTTTGTTGAATCAAACGGTCCTGCCACAGGATCTCTTTTTGTTGAATCAGCCACATTTTGTCCTTCTCTGTCTCGTCTCTTTGTTGAATCAGTTTTGTCCTGCCAAGTCTCTTTTGTTGAATCAGCCATTGATGACATTTTTCCTGCCACAGCTCTCGTCTCTTTTGTTGAATCAGCCACATTTTGTCCTGCCACAGCACTTTTTGTTGAATCAGCACATTTTGTCCTGCCATTTACTCTTCTCGAAGCAAACGGCACAGGATCTCTTTGCAGACTTGCTCGTCTGGCTCTGCAGTAAGAATTTACTGTGGATGATGACTATATATATAGCACACCCAATGCATTTATTTTCATATATATATATATATATATATATATATATATATGTGTGTGTGTGTGTGTGTGTGTGTGTGTGTGTGTGTGTGTAAAAAATCACAATAATGAAAATTTGGGAATCCAAAATTTCAGGATTGTGGATCTGGATCCAGCCTGGAATGCTTTTAATCTGCTCACGGAGTCAGCCTGATTCCAAAATATTATGATATGTTGGGCTACGGCCTCCAGGAGTAAAGATGAAAAAGTGTGACACAGTGACACACTGACATTTACGTTTAATTTATATATATATATATATATATATATATATATATATATATAATTACATTTTTACATTATTCGGACTTGTTATCCTCATCTTCATTGGCATATTCACAACGTTTTATACTCATTCTTCAGGTGATTAGAATTTCGAATTGAACTCTTTATTTCGTCCACCCCCACGCCCAAAAAATAATGTACTATCGCCTGATGAGATGCAGTGATACGCATCGAAACACAACTGCAATTATGTAGCGATTTTGACATGTTTTCGGTGTAATATCCTAAAATAAATAATATTGCTCTACGTTGTATTAAACCCTCTTTTAAATTAAATGTTACGAACGTTTGAATTGTATCCTCCTATTCTTTCTTATCTTCTCTCTCTCTCTCTCTATATATATATATATATATATATATATATATATATATATATATATATATGTTTTTGTATTTAGGCAGCAAATTCTCTTTTAGGCATGTCTTATTAAATAAATTACAGGCATTATGT